AGACAGACAGACAGACAGACAGACAGACAGACAGACAGACAGACAGAGAGAGAGGGAGAGAGAGGGAGAGAGAGGGAGAGAGAGGGAGAGAGGGAGAGAGGGAGGGAGTAGAGTAGACACTCGAAGATAAGCCAACGAGCACACTGCGCAGCGAGGCTGCAGCCATCAGTATATGCTTTGAATGGTGATGGCACTTCACACCCAGCAATAGCTGTGGCATTGAAAGCAGCACCAACGGCCAGAGGCTTACGGGTGGTCAAAACAGCTAACCGCACAGACTTCTGATGGGTTGCACAAATGCACGGGGAGCTCACAGTCGGACTCTGTGAGGAGGAAATTTGACTGTCTGAATCTTGAGGGGCTGCTTTTGGCTCATCTATCCCTAAGAGAAGCAATCGCAGAGGCGGAGGACGCACAGTTTTCAGTTCGATCCAAACAAAGGGATTTGATGTGTCGGGAGGATGTGCTGATGAGATCAAAGACTTCTGGAAGTGAGACAATACAGTGAAGCTGAAAAAGTGCAATCGAGAGCTGATCCATTTCCTGACGCTTGTGCGTAGTATGGGTAGTATCGGCAGCTTGAGGATGTCGTTCGTTCGACTGAGGCTCCAAAAGGAGAGCTCCTTGTGAACCTAAGCCGAACGTACCAAGGCCCAGGCAGGAAACACCATTTGATTTTTGTTTTCTCATTTCGCTTCAGAAAGTTGACCTAAAAATCTAGGAACCAAATCATTAGTGCGTGAGCTATGCTGCTTCCATATGTAGGAGCTTCCTATTGCTAGTAGCTTACTTACTCCCTTACTCAATTAATGAGGAGCGGGCTAAGAACAAGTTTCGAGATTTACGTCTCCTCCAGCAGCGAAAGACCTGACAGCATTTCATCTCTCTGACGGTCTGACGGCTGTTCATCCCTGTGAACAAAGCCATCAAACAATTGAACGACATAAATTCACTAGACGAGGTATTTTTGGCAAGTTTGTTTTTGCTTTACCTGAGAGTGCTATTTTGCCTTGCTTTTCGCATTTCTGTTCTCTGCTCATTTCAAGTCGCAAGCTCACATTGCAACAGCCCTGCTTTTCTCATCCAATTGGATACGGTTGGCTTCATTCATTGGTGTGCCAACTTCCACTGAACACACGAGGGGTCAAAAGACATGGTTGAGTGATGTTGAGTGGCTGAGTAGTTGATATTGCATTCAACAGAAGCAACCAGGGAATGGTTTCCCGCTTCGTGTGACAAACATCCTGAGACAAGAACGTTGAGCGTTTTTACAGACCTTTTTCGGGCAATTGTGGCTGTGATAGCTGCGCTTCTCAATGGTGTGGCTCTGGATCGGCGTTTTGGTTTTGCGGATGCTGCTGCTGTGCTAATGCTAGTGCAGGTGATCCTGGTGCAGGTGATGCTGGTGCATGTGCAGGTGCTGGCCCTGGATTGGCGTTTTGTTTTGCAGGCGCTGGCTCTGGATCGGCGGTTCGTTTTGCGGTGCTGCTGGTGCTTTCGTTTTGCGGGTGCTGCTGCCGTGCTGGTTCTGGTGATGATCATCATGTCCGTGGGCAGCTTTGACTGGACCTTGCCGATCTTGCAGTTTCACTTTGTGTTGCGCAAAGCGGTGGACTGGTCTGATGTTGCATGCGTGCTGCGGTGACAGCCGTCCGCTGCGTGTCCTTAAGCCTATGCACCCGCTATCTGGGGTCTATGCCGGTGTAAATGAAAGCCAACTTGTTTCTCGCAAAACGGCGAGCTCTGCTCAAACCATGAAGCTCTCTTGACTGCAAGTAGCGTTGATGCCAACGAGGCAAACGAAAACCGCTGATTTTCCTCAAGCAACTTAGGCGGAGCCCTAAACACCCCGCCCATGGCCTACAACCACCTTAAAAGGAGACAGTGTCTCATGTTTTGTCAAGCCGCAACCTTTGTTCACGTTGAGTTTTTGGGAGGCCACTGCGCAGCCGTGCTCGACATCCTGGCGAGTGCGCTGTTTTTGCCTAAGACATACCGGGCTCGGTATGTTCATGTTTTCATTGTCTTCAGGTTTTGCCGGTCTTTTTAGACTCTAACGCCTTGGTCTTTGTTTTTCAGGCGGAGAAAGCCCTCAAGCCTGAGGCACCAACCAGACTGGCAAGATTTTTTTCTTTTCTTTTCCCGCGAGACAGAAACGAACACGACATGACAGGAATTGTGCGCAAGCCTTGTGGTGAATGGCTTGATCAAGGCCCTGCTTTTGTTGAACACTTTTTTTGTGGTTCGCTAAGTTAAGTTTCACTTAAAATCTAGGAACCAAATGACTAGTGTGATCGCTTCTTCAAGGAAACTCCCCCCCGCCGCCTTTGGTGCGGCGGGGGGGAGCTTCCTTGAATCAATGAGAGCTATCCTGCGTCTTGTCGGTACTAGCGTGCTTGTAGCTGGTATTTTGGAGCTACTAGCTCTACCTCTCCCTACTAGCTACCTCGACTCGGCCTACCTGGCTACCCCCCCTTAAAATAGAAAGTTTGCCGCTTTTCAGTCCTTGGGCTAGCTAGCTTTCGAATTGAGGACGCCTTGAAAGAGGACGTGAAGACTGCCACAGAGGATGCTGCTCAGCGAAAGTTAATCCATATTTACAGCCCGTCCACATATTTGGCAAGCAATTCTTTCAGTTGAGGTGGCCATGGCAGTTGATGACAGTGGTGATGAGATGGAGGACTTCATGCATTCTGAATGGAACTAGAGTCGGGAGGAGTTGACTTCAAGTGTTCTGCAGGATGATGTGTTGAGCCTTTGTGATCAGAGTGAGGCCGAAGAGGTGGGCAACGTAAGATGCAGATAGTGCCAACCGATGTCATTCGTGACAGGAGACACAATCTGTTGGTCTCTCATTTTTCTTCGTTTTTTCTTTTGCTTCAATTCCTTTTTTTCCTGAAGTTCCACGGTTGAGGTTGATTTGGCGTGCCGTCTCGCACAGCGCGTGGTGCAAGAAGGCCTGCAAAGAACCGGGGGATAGGCTGGGTAGGCAAAGCAAGCCTGGTATTGTCAGTAGCAGCAGACCTCGATCAGGTATACACCTTGACATCACCAAGGCGGTTCAGGACCCGACAGCCCGACGGACTGAGATCGAAGTTGATCATCGACACTGGCAGGACGCATCCCATCAAAGCGTGTCCACAGAGTTTGAAGAGGTCTCAGCCTTCAGTGAGGCCAGAAACGCTGAACTTTTGAAGAGATTCGTTTCAAAATCTAGGAACCACATCATTAGAAGCGTGAGCTATCCTGCGTCCAATATGTAGGAGCTTCCTATTGATACTAGCTTACTTACTAGCTTACTGAAATAAGTAGGCGCCTACTCAAGCAAGGAGGAAGGGCCACTCGGGCAAAAAAATCAATCATGCCTGAGGGGCCAGGGGTTCTTTTGGAAAGACAGCTTGACCAGAAAAGTCTACTCCTTTGCTACTCCTCAAATTCCTGCACTCCCTCCTTTTCTCCTTTCCCCTAAAGTTCTGCTCCTTTTCCAGGAAGAAGAAGAGGATAGAGTGCTTGATAAGGCCGGTCAGGTCAAATGTCGAGAGCGTGACGATTTCGTGTGTCATAAGAAACGCCGTGCATGGCCGTATACAAATAGCCAAGCAACATCGGGCGGGACAGGCTGAG